TAGCATGGTAGGTGACGATGGGTGAGTCGTGATGTGGGTCCAACTGGATGAATTAACATTGTTTATAGTGATCAATTTACCCTTAATTAGTGGTCAAATACATATATTTGACCATAATATTATTACTTATTTAGTATATTATCATTAATGATTGACCATTATTTATTATAATTTGACTTGATCATGGCTATTGATGTGATGGATCTAATCGTCCAGAATCATTTTTATTTCTTTCATTGTGTTTCATTCTCATTTGAGCACACTTCTATATGTGTGTGTGTGTGTGTGTGAATGTGTGTTGCATACTAATTAGTAAAAAATATTGTTAAATAAAAAGTACAATCATAGCTACAATTTATGCTTCTCATGCAAACTACTAATTTACAAAACTTAAAATAGGCTGATCCAAATTCTTACATCACATACGCTTAAAAAGCAAGTAACAAATACACATTAACTTGTATTGCAACTTTTCACAATGAATGTTAGGCTCCTTACATCTTCACGAATTTCTCATAAAAAAACAACTAAAAGCCTGGACAATAACCTTCATAAATCCCATGGCCAACAAAATTCAATCTTCACATAATGAATAATAATAATAAAGAAGAGAAAACTGAAGATGATAAAATATGGAGTAACTAAATCAATGTGTTGTTGCTGTGGGGCGGGTGCGAGTAGCCAAATGGGTCGCCAAATGGGTTTGATGGCCCATTATGCGGTTGTGCAGCAAACTGGGATGTGTACGGGTTGTGGGCCCCACCCAACCCTTGTTGTTGTTGTTGTTGCATCATCATCATTTGTTCTTGTTGGGACATGAGTGCCAACTGCACGTTGGTAGGTGGCGCAATGCTATTGGACATTGCAAACGGGTCGTGCGGCTGACTGAGCGATGCACTTGGAACGTAATCATAGTCATAGGACGCATTGTATCCCGCACTGTGTAGTTGCACCGTCCGGTGAGCTGTATCATCTTCATACAAGCTATCAAGAAGTAGTTTATCAAAGCCCCCAGCCTAATGCAAAACGTGTTAGTGTTTTCAAAATTAAGACAAATTAAAGTAGGTTGTAATAGAGTTTGATTAATTAATTACTTATGCAGAATCGAATCAAGTCAAATAAACATAATACATATCAAGCCGATTTGGAGCTTTTATAATTTAAAAAATCGAAGTTCAAGGGATGAAACGAACCATTTGGGTAGTGGCTGGTTGGGGTTTATTGATGTTGCTGGGAGCCGTAACAAGGGCGAGCTCCCAACCACTAGTGTTCCCATACTCGGCTAGTGAATTACTTGAAGATGGTGGATTGGGATCTACCGAAAAACCAAATCACAAATCAAAACTAATCTTGACATTATATATATGTATCGTTACAACACTATATGTCATGATCAATCAAAAGGATGTTCAACGAACCAGGTTGTAGAATTGCAAGAGCTAATGCGTTGCTTTCCTCGATTTTTAAAGCTTCTGGATTTACATCGTTCAACCCCTGCACAACAATTTTTAGGATTTAAATTAACTATTAAAATACATATAAGTAAAGTATGTGATACCCATAAGACTTACAAGGAGATCAAGAGGCTCTTGAGCTAATGGTGGACGTGGAGATTCTTCTTGTTTGACCGGTGATTCTGCTTCATCATCTTCTTCTTCTTCTACTTTCACGTCTTGTTTAGTGCTATCAACTTCTTCAATAGTTTTCTCATTTTCTTCTTCGGCTTCTTCTTTTGGTTCCAGTTCTGGTTCATGTACTGTCTCTCGGTACTCCTGTAAGAATTGAATCCATGTTGTTTCATCAAAAAATGATATGATGCTAATATCTAGTTCAAAAAAGCAAGTTAAAATCACACAAAATTTTGATTTTATGCGCCTTCATTGCAATATGATTTTTAATTTAAATTAGAGAAAATTGGTGTGGGGAAATGGTAAAATATAATGGTTTAGAAGTGGAAGCAGATTTTCACATATAACATGCATGATACCAAGAATCGATTCTCACCAGTCTCTTATTCGATAGAGAACCAGCCTGAGGCGCTTCCCGAACATAGTCCTCCATCGTTGCTATAAATGTCGGAGGAGGCTAATTCCAGGAAAACACAAAGTAGTAAATTATCATAAAGCATTTTATTAGAGAAAAAAATGAGTCATAAGAACGTTAAAATAAATATAAATACTTGATTATTGAAGGACCTGTCTAAGTGTGGGGAAATGAAAGGTTCTAGCGAGTTCCAATGTTCTGCAGAAGCCATAAAAATCAGCTAGGTGCTCTGCCTAGACATACCAAGGATCAACAAAGACAAGAAAGTTATTAAGTTAATTTTTTATCTCCGGATCTTTTTTTTTTCTCTCTTCTTTTTGATTAATATGATGTTAAATATAAAGTGGAGATGTATGTTGAGGACCTGTTTTCCAGCCTTTCTGTAGATATCTAGAGCCCTAACGGCGTCGTGCTTGGGCATCTCGAAAAACTGTACGAAAAGAGTCGAGAGATCGAAATTTTGTATTCCAATCTAAATACGATGTTACTAATCTATATGCTTGGGCATCTCGAAAAACTGTACGAAAAGAGTCGAGAGATTGAAATTCTATATTCCAATCTAAATACGATGTTACTAATCTATATGTTTTTTTTAAAAGCAACTCATATAAAAAAAGTATCATTTACCCTGTCGACTAGATTAATAATCCCATCATTTATAGAGCAATATATCTTGAAGCTCTCCTTTAAGACCTGCATTATGTTAATAAGTCTAATATAACAAACATTCAAATATCAAACTTACCACATCAAGTGGTTAAGTATAAAATATAGATTTTTTGTAGTGCATATATTTATACCAGGGCAAGAGCATACTGGATTAGGAAGTTGTGGCATGCTCCTCCTTCAGGCTGGAAAAGAGAGAAATAAATCAAACAAATGTTCCATATATATCTAAAACAAGAGTGTTTAAAATTAGGTAATTTAACCTTAATCAAATTAATTCTCCAACATTATTATACTATTACCTGGCAACAGAGTAAACGATACAGAAGTTGTTGTAATGCGGGCAACTGATGTAACAACTCATCGGAACTTAAGAGTCGTGTCTTGCTATACGCCTGGTATCAATCAAATTCATTAAATTTTTTTCATTTAGTCTAAAAATGATCCTACCAGTTTTAAAACAAATTAAAACACAGGATACCTTAGACATTCCTGGGCCTGTTTTGGGTGCTCTCTCAGCTTCTATGTCATAGCTTAATGTCCTAAAACATTCGAGTCTTTCCTCAAGAAACAATGCGTAGGTGCGCACCCAAGCTGAGCAATCCCAAGCTGCACCAAATGTTAGGTGAATTGATTTAAAATATGTATATTATTATACTACCATAATTACACTATATCAATTTACCAAGCGGACTCGAGTCATCCTTGAAATTAGATATTTGAAATAATTTTCCTCTATGAGAAAATTGTAGCAGTTCTTCTCGGAATGTGGGGTCACCCTCTCTTAATGACCTATGAATCACTATTAATGCCTTTACCGCCACCTGAAACATGTTCTTGATAGTTAATGTACACAACGATGATTTATATATGAAAATAAAATTCTGTTATAATAAATAACATGCATAAAGTACTGCTGCAAAGCTAACTTGCAGTTAGTTGAAAAGGTTTCGCATGCAATCCGATGTTGTTTGTAATTAACTTGAGAAAAAATGATAAGAAAAAAAAGTGGGCGCTTATGACATACAATCCAATTACGCGTTTTTGTCAATCTTCTTGAAAGTGCATGAATGCAGTAGGAAACATCTGCACGCGGACGGTTAATAGATACTGCTGCAAATATTTCTGGCGATGAAAATGACAAAGTAAACAAATCACGTAAGTCACAAAGAATGTACAAAATGATCAATGTACGTACCAACACGTATAAATTATGTATGTATGTATGTATGTATGTATGTATGTATGTATGTATGTATGTATGTATGTATGTATGTATGTATGTATGTATGTATGTATGTATGTATGTATGTATGTATGTATGTACTTGTTGTCTTAGAATCAACTCGGAGAAGAATTAATGCACTTACTTCTAACATGTCTTTCCTTGGGAGGAATTTCATCGTGGTTAGTTGCCTTAACAACCGCGATATCCAAATCCTTTGTGATAATCAAAAAGTTATATTTGAAAGATTTAGATAAAAAATTAGAACAAGAAAATCTATTGAAGAACATACGAAATTCAATTAATCAACAAATACGGAGAATGAATATGCATGTATTATTCATATTATATGTACCTTGAATTCACTATTGAGGTTGGCTAATCCAACCTTGGTGGTGTCCTTTAGAGCTCCATAGGCTTTCCGAAAGCTGTCCATTTATGGATCTTTTGTGTTATAGTAATTGTATTAATTAAAAAATGTAAAATTGTAGTGATGATGATCAAATAAAAGATGTAAGATCCAGGGGGAGAAGAGGGTTTGACATATTCTTCCTCTCTTCTTTTGGCCTGTAACTGTGATTTTCCAATACAAACCACCAAAAATACATTGTGAGAGAAAAAAAGGGAAAAAAAGTTGAATGATTCTTTCTCTTTCTATCTTTCTTCTATGTTTTAGACATGATTTTGAAACCTCATGAACATGCGAGCAATGAAATAGGACATACTTATGATTGTTTGGTAATTGGTTGTGGTTAGTCCAACAACCATCGTAAAAATTTATTTCTCTTTTTCTATGTCATTGATTTCAAAAAATTAAAATAAACTAAAGTTGGCGAGTGAGAAAAAACAAATTTTACATATATTGGGAGAAGCATAATTATGCATATTAGTAATAGATTTTATATGAATGATAACTTTTAAATTCACGAAATGGAGAAAATATCGTAATAACTCAATTGATTATATACTAATATTCGATCTTATGCACATCCATAGGTGAAAATAAAATTTTATATTTTATGTGTATGTGTGTAATATTTAAAGTAAGTTAGATAATTAGCATGTCAAATTTTGTATATTTAATCACTACTAAAATGAATAGTATAAAATAAAATTTTTAATTTATATATTCGTTGGCCAACGGATTTGTTCAACCAATACACCGGATTAGTGTGTATTATATGTAAAGTATTTCTACTGTCTCTCTTTCCCCTTTCCTAAGTTCATAACTAGCATTGTTATTAATTGCAAGAAAAACATACTAAATATATGTATATCATACAAATAAGTGTTGTACAAATCAATGTTCTGAAAAACAGACCGATCATCGAACCGGTGAAGCTACTGGTTCATGGTTCACTGGTCAGACCAGTGGTCGAACCGGTTAAACTAATATATAATTTATTTATTTATTTTATATGTATAATATATAGTTATATATATATATATATTTATCATTAATTTTATAGCATATAATGACATTTTTGTAAATAAGAGCTGATAAATCAATATTTTAAGTATAGTTTACCATAAACGATACTATTTTAAGTTCACAAAAACAATAAATTATTAATTTAATATCTAAAGCAAGACAAACTAAATTACAAATACAAACTACAAAGTCATGAAACATCAAAATACATACAATCCAACATTACAACAAAGAAAAGAAAAATTGTTTCAAGTAGTTCAAGTTCAAAACCATTAAAAAACAACGTAATTCACCGACTAGAACGAATCATCATAATTTCCACTAACTCCTCCAAATCCAACATCGACATAACCATAACCAAGAAGATTATCTTCATCTTCCCCATTTCCATCATCTCCACCATCACCGGAGTTCAAATTGGATGGATCGGACATATTTATGTCCATGTTAACTTCATTGCGATCTAAGTAAATGGAAAAAAAGGAAGGAGCATATATTAACATGAAGTGCTCAAAATAAATATACCAAATCGTGATATAATTTTGTTATAAGCAAACAACTTACCTACAATTGAAATAACTTGTTCATCATAAATTAAGTTTCCAACTTCATTCTCATCAAATTCTGGTTGTGGATCTTCATCCACCACCCAAAAATTAAGCTTGTGAATGCTTTCATAATCAATTGGATCATAAGATCTTTTCTTTTGAAGATTCCTATAATATAGAAATTATAATTAATTTAGAGAAGTTCAAAATGAAACAAATGCCAACAAAAAAAACTTTGCACATCTTAATTAATAAATAATAATATTAACTTACCTATCTTTCAAACGCAGGTTGTAAGTGATGTAAAAATGATCACAAAGCCTTTGATGCTCCAGTCTATTCCTATTTTTGTTGTGGATCATATCAAACAAACTCCAATTTCGTTCACACCCTGATGATGAAGAATTTTGACTCAAGATGCGGATGACAATATTTTTTTAATATGGGAGCATTCCCGCCAAACAACCTCCACTATAACATAGAAATTATAATTCATTTAGAGAAGTTCAAAATGTAACAAATGCCAATAAAAGAAACTTTGCACATATTAATTAATAAATAATAATATTAACTTACCTATCTTTCAAATGCAAGTTGTAAGTGATGTAAACATGATCGCAAAGCCTTTGATGCTCCAGACTATTCCTTTTTTTGGTATGAATCATATCAAACAAACTCCAATTTCGTTCACATCCTGATGATGAGGAAGTTTGACTCAAGATGCAGATGACAATATTTTTTAATATGGGAGCATTCCCGCCAAACAACCTCCACCATTCATCTGCAATAATAAAATAGGAACAAATTTATTAAACATAAATGAATTATAGAATATATACATAAAAAGAATTATACAACTATAAATAATATTTTACCCGGTGTAAGTGATTTTGCAGCCTGTAAACAAGATGGCCTAGCGAAACTATTCTTGCGCTCTCTATATATCTTTATCTCTTTCATTGTTTTATCGAATCACTACATAGGCTCTTGATGTCCAGTATATCAAGTAATCCATTCAACACTCTATGTTTCTCACTGAAACTTTCATCATAAAAGAAAGCAGGATTGAGAAAAATAAGTTGTAGCATGGATACTACGATTCAAGTGTTTATCCCATCGAGCCTTAATATTTTCAGTGTAAGGCTTGCACACACTTTTTCTTTTTCCAAACATATGTTGAATACCCTTTGCCCTTTGCATTCCTTCATACACATACCCTAAAGACGCTTTTTCGTCTGCATCAACAATTTGCAACATTCTAACAAGAGGTCCTGCAAGCTTAACCGCAATTTGGCATTCTCGCCCAAATTTAGCATCCAATTGTTTCACAAACTATTTTTCCATTAACACTTTTTGTTAATCTATGACCAGTAAAGTGTTTATCAACCACCAAAGCTTGCAAGTCCTCTTTATGATCACAAATGGTTTTTAAGGTAAAAAAGACCGTAGCAAATCGAGTAACTCCTGGACGTACTATCTCCTTCCAACCTGGCCTTTTTCTAAGCCAAGACAAAAATACCATATGATTATAGAAAAAAATAGTAATCTTTGAAGCACGAGAAGCAAGGTTGCTTATCTGAGGTAATGAAGAGATGTATTTCAATATCAGATTATAACAATGTGTTGCACATTGGGGACCAAAAAACGTTTTCATACGTATCGTAAATCAACTTTCCAGCTGCTACATAATTTGCTGCATTATCAGTCACTACATACACAATATTTGCAGGCCCAATCCCTTCAATAACATCAACAAACAAATTGAACAGGTTTTTTGCATCTTTCACAATGTCTGAAGCATCAACAAATTTAATGAATGTCATATCTGCGGGACAATAGACCAGGAAGTTAATTAAAGTTCTTTGCCTTTGATCACTCCAACCATCTGCCATAAGTGTGCATCCAGAGCTCTTCTAATTGCTTCGATAACTTTCAACGAGAAGCTGACACTCTTTTTTTCAATCTCCCAATAAGTTCACCCTAACATCATTATATGAAGGACCTTTAAATCCAGGTCCAATGGCAGCAATTGCATCCAAAGATGGCTGTAAATAATAAGATTGGGTCGCATTAAATGGAATGCAATTGGCGTAGAACCATCGAGCAAGAGCCATGTTAGCATTTTTCACCGCCTCTTTGGTCACAAACACACTTTAAGACCTGGCTGAGATCCTAGAGTTGTCCTCGACGCAAAATATCTATCGACAGGACCAATAACGACTTTTCTCTTTCCTTTATCGATGGCCGGAGTAGACTCAGGTACTTCTCGCACTTCGTCAGGTACATTTGTCGTGCTCCCTTACTCATAATCATCATAATTAGGATCATCTTTTTTTTTTGTTTACTTAATCTAAGTGTGCTGCCATCCAAGATTTAACACCGTGCATCACTTCCTTACACGGAGCTATTTCTCCCTTCTTCCCAGCTAAATGATGTTTTATTCTATGAATTCCCCCACCTTTGAATTGTTTCTTACAGAACAAACAAGTGTATGTGGACTTTCCATTCTCACGAATTAAACTGACAAATTCCCAAGCAGGATCGAATTTTCCACTGCTAGATTGTATCGATAGCATTTCTTTATTTGAACCCTCCATACCTGTGAGCCTGTGACGGAGAGCTGGTCGGACCACGAGAGCTGCTCGATACACAATAACAGTGAAAAGTATATATTTTGCAATTAGTGCGCTCAACAAAGTAAGAACGTAGATAAACAACTAAAATAGCGGAAGCAATAAACCGAAGATATAAAAATCCCCTCAAAGCTCTTTCATTGATAAACCGTTGAACATTGTATAGTTTGGACTTACACGACTCGAACTCCCTTCTAGTCTAGCCCCAACTACACACGATCCTATCAATTACTTCTCCGACCACGTCCCATGGAATTTCTAACCAACACTTAATCCCTAAGTGTAAAACACGAATATGTCTGAATAAAACAAAGAAATAGAAAGCAAAACAACTTCAGTTCTTAGATGCGTAAGAACCCTTAAACTGAACTGTAAACAAAAACTAAAACAAATGTCTTGAAGCTCGAATATTGCTTAAGCGTGTAAGAGCATCAACAGCCTTCATTCGATCTTCAAGTAGGGTATTTATACAACTCCCTTAGGCATGGAGTCTTCTCCAAGATGTTCCCTTTCTTCTTGATCTCCTTCGATCTTCTTCCCATAAATATTGTGTAAACATGGAAAGTGGATCTTCCTTAATCTCCTCTTTCATGCACCGCGCCTTTCCTCCTTGTCTCCCATGCAATTCGATTTCCTACAAGATAATACCACAATAAGATCATGCAATATCATATATGTATGTATAATATAAACTGAATTAGGTAATATATATAACATGAAGAACTTTTCTCTTTCAGCGATTCTTAGTGATTGTAGGAACATGTCTTCAACCACACTTATTTTTGAACTTATGCCAAAATAATATATCTTTCAATCTCCCCCA